GAGTCCCCAGAGCCCTAAAACATTCTTAAGACCACCAAGGGGAGTAGAATTTCAAATAAGAACAATCTGAGAACTACGAAAGAAATTCAGAGGAATTTTAAAGAAAACCATGGATAACTGCTGACCTACCGACCTAATGCTAGGTTACTTAAGCCGCAGTTACGAAGTCTTTTTAATTCCTCCTTATCACCCTTTTGAAACGGTTTTCAACTTTGCAGTAGCAGACGCAGATCCCAGGGCTCGATCCCTAGACCTTGCCCTCACCCGTGTACAGTACCCAGTCGACCCCTGTGTGTTTGAACCCGTGACCTGCGTCGTGGTAGTTGTTTGTCGTCTGTCGTAGGTTTGTGTAGTCGTCGGGTTTTGAACCGTAGGTCTGTTAAGTAGAGGTCGTAGCTGTGTAGAAGTCGTCGCTGCTACAGTCCTGAAAGGTCAAGGTCTTAGCTGCTACAGTCCCGAAAGGCCAAGTCTGCAGACTTCCGGAAGGTCCAGAAGTGGCCTTTCGAGAGTTACCAGAGTCAGGCCAGAGGCAAGTGGGCAAGTGGGCAGTCCAACCTCACCTAGTCAGCGGTACCCAGTTCCAGTCGCACTCTGTCCAGTTAGCAAGTTCCATGTGGGACTGTGTGCACCCTGGGCCCGGTGGGAAGGTGCAGACCAGCGTCCAACCGAAGTATAAATCAAGAGGCAGCGTCCAGTTATTGATTCATTCAGCCTGTGAGCCGGGCGGAAGCGCTGCCTAAGCGACTTGTGCAAGGTGGTCTGCAAGTGCCCGAGGCAGAAGTGGGCTGTGAAGGAGACGAAGCGGCCATAGCCGCTAGTTAGTAGGGGAGGTAGAAGGCAGCCATAGCTGCTTTAGGTTAGAGATAGAGATAGACTATAACGTGTAAGGGTGCGAGTGTTCAATGATGTGTGTGCGTGTGTGGGACATCCAGGGAGATCCAGAGTAGCGTGCGTGGGAACAGTTGCTGGGAATACAGTGTCGGAAGGTTGTTGTCAGGGCGCACAGGCACCATAGCCATTCGAAGCAAGTTTGAATCTGAACTGTGTTCTTGGCCTCGATATCTCTGAGCTTTGTGTGGGCGCCTGGCGCCAGTGTGACTGCCATCTGTTTTCATGCATGCTGAGTGGTGAATAAGACGAGTCTGATTGCACTTTTTATACAGTAGGGGCACCACACGCGTAGTGTGGTGGCTACCTAGGCCTCCTTTCCCCCAACTGTTGATAAGAAATTGGAGGTGGCGGTTCCCTAGCAGGGGCCAAAAGTGTGATCAGAATTCCTTTGTCATTCCATCTTTCCTGAGGGCTTTGTCGTTTCCAATCATTTCAACGCCTTGATGAAATTCCTGGAGGGTTAAGGGTTTATATCTAGCTCATTGGCTTGAGACAATGTTATGTCCTTTCTGGGTAGGTCAACATCTTTTTTCGGGCAGCTTCGACCGTAGGTTGGACCGGGTTGAAGGTCAACTGATTCGTATAAATATTAATAAAACAAGTCAGAGGGGCGCCGCGGCGAGGGTATGTCCCAGAGGGTCTCAGTGTCAGTATATCGTAAGGTAGTCAGAGTGTGAGTGTGCCCTAAGTTGCCCGAAGTCCCAGCGTGAGTATGTCCCGAAAGGTCCCAGAAGTCAATATGAACTTAACTGCGGACAGATACATTGAAAAGAAATTGCGGTGTGAGTATGTACTAAGGACCTGTCAGATGCAAATGTCGCCGTGGGGAGAGAGAGAGAGAGAGAGAGAGAGAGAGAGAGCAAAATGGGAATGAATCTGTCACTAGAACATGGAAATATACACTGGCAAGGAAATATAGATGGCCACAGGATATATTTCCATGTTGTGGCAGTGGATACGTCCATGTCCTAGGGGAAGATTTAATCCCATTTTGCTCATTTGGTGAAGCGTGGAAATGGTGGTCTGTGTGTATGTGTGTCTGTGTAGGATGAGCAAATCAGAATGAATCTTTAGCCAGAACATGGAAAGCGGACAGATACATTGAAAAGAGATCACGGTGTGAGTGTGTACTAAAGAGCTGTCAGATGCAAATGTGGCTGCGGAGAGAGAGAGAGAGAGAGAGAGGATGAGCAAAATGGGAATGAATCTCTCGGCAGAACATGGAAATATACACTGCCAAAGGAAATATAGACGGCCACAGTATATATTTCCATGTTGTGGCAGTGGATACATCCATGTCCTAGGGGAAGATTTAATCCCATTTTGCTCATTTGGTGAAGCGTGGAAATGGCGGTCTGTGTGTATGTGTGTCTGTGTAGGATGAGCAAAATCGGAATGAATTTTCAACCAGAACATGGAAATACACACTGCCACCTTTTTTATTTTTTCATTTATTTTTACTTTTTGTGCTTGTTTTTTTTTTTTTTTTTTTTTCACCCAAACAGATCCGTAAATGGGCAGAAAGAATATTACCTAATGGCAAAGAACCTCATACATTGCATTACAGAAATAAAAAAACAGGAAAAGATGGATTGTTCTGTGAAAAAATCTTGTGTGTGTGTGTGTGTGTGTGTGTGTGTGTGTGTGTGTGAGAGAGAGAGAGACAGAGAGAGAGAGACAGAGAGAGGCTACTTCTATCGATAGGAAGCTGGAAAACTCTCTCTCTCTTCCTCTCGCAATCTCTCCCTCTCTCTCTCTCTCTCTCTCTCTCACACACACACACACACACACACACACACACACACACACACACATGCCCGCGCGCGCACGCACACACCCGCACACATACACACACAAGTGTAGTAGTGTATATTTCCATGCTCTAGCGGAAGAGTCATTCGATTTTGCGCATCCTATCGATGGAAGTAGCGTGAGGCCAGCCGCAGGGTTGGGGGGAGGGAGAGAGAGAGAGAGAGAGAGAGAGAGAGAGAGAGAGAGAG